TTCCAAATTATATAGCCATTATAGTAAATATGCAACATAATCTAAACATATAGTATACCTAAAACATAAGCAAAATTGAAAAGATCCACTGACATTCCTCTAGGGTTACTGAGGCGCTTCATTAGCCAAAGAGTTTATAATATATAGATGTTCCTTGACTCTATAGGAGTGCCAACATGGCCACCTACACACACTGCTGGGGCAGAGACCTGGCCTGGCCTCCCACCCACCCTGGGGGCAGGCATGGTCAGCAGACCATCATCATCAACAGACCATCATCATCACCCAGTGGGTATGAAGACGTGGCTGAAGTCTTGAACAACATTAGGAATCTGAGAAGTCTACAGATTTCAGAAAATAAACTAGAGGATGCCGGTGCAAAACTGTTCTGTGAAGCTGTGAAACCTCCCAACCGCCACTCAGAGAACCTTGGATTGGAAGCCTGACAGCTAACTGCTGTCTGCTGTGAGGACCTAGTTTCTGATTTTACCCACAATAAAACCCCTGCGGGGAATTAGCCCGTTGAAGAAAACCTTGGTTCACAATAGGGTCATTGTGGTGAGTGAGGACCAGAAACAACCAAAGCGTAACCTACATGCAAGGGCTACAAACAACTTACTTTGATGAGGAAAACCAACCATTTCTGAACACTGAGAAAAAGAAACCCCTACTTTACATTCCTAAGCCATGTGTAAGAGAAACAAAAATAAAAGTGAAAACGCTATTCCAAGAAACCTGGACATATTCTGACTCAAAACCACATACAAAGGTAAGGGGGTGGGCCCTTACTTTGGCACACCTCTGTGTAAGGATTATAGATCACTGACACTCTAGTGAGATATGATTTCTCCAGCACTCAGCTCAGAGGTGTTACGATGGGGTCTTTCATTTTCTAACAGAAGACATGAAGTAGGGGGTGGAGATGTGGGGCTGGTAGGGTGAGGGTGGAGATGGGGGAGGAGGTCTGAATATAACCAAAATTCATTGTATGAAATTCTTGAGTCAATACAATTTCTCTTAAACTGAACACCATAGCTTAGCAACATAATACACTGTTAGGTATTGGCTGTTTATCATCAAGATCAGGTGGCTGATGGAACTACAGCTTACTGCTGCTACTCAGCATCACAAGAACAATGGACCATATATCACTAGCACAGGAAAAGATCAAAATTCATAATTCATAGGCATCTACTGGATGCCTATTGATTGCATATAAAACTGTCAAACTATCATAAGTCAGGGACTATCTATAAAGATCTTACATACAGTTAGGACAGACAGTATTCCAAAGATCTCTTATGAATAGGACTTTGATGTGATTAGTGGTCACAGTATGTCCAGATCCTTATGTTACCAACTCTAAACTACCATGTCAGGTAATTCTGACAAAGATATAAGCTTTCTTCTTCCTGCCTGGAATGCAGACATTAGGGTTGGTTGGGTTAACCCTCCTGTATTAGTTACTTTGCTGTTGCTATGATAAAATACTATTATGATCAAAAGCAACTTATAGAGAAAAGGGTTTATTTTGACTTAGAGACAGAGGGAATCCATCATGGTAGGGAAGGCATAGCAGCAGAAGCAGGAATCTGGCTGATCACATTTTCATCCACACACGGGAAGCAGAGAAAGAAAACAGGAAGGCAAGGCTATAAACCCTCAAAGCTGGACCCTGGTGACGTACTTCCTCCAGCAAGTCTCCACCTCCAAAAAGTTCCATAACCTTCCAAAATGGTGCCACCAATTGGGAATCAAGTATTCATATACATGAGCCTGTGGGGGGCATTTCTTATTCAAACCATCACATTTCCTATAGTCATGAAATAAATGCCATAAGCTAATGAGAAAGTGTAAGAAAAAAATCGCCTTTAAGTTGTTGGTCAGGGCAGTCTAAGAGACTCTCAAAATAACACAGGCTATTGCCACAACCCTTGATTGCCTCCCAAAACTTGAAGGTAAGACCCCATTGCTGAAGACATATTTGGGACACAGGACTTAAAGAGTTTTTGAGCTGGAACTGATGTGAAAGCCTCCTCCCGGAAAAGCAGCTCTCATAGTAGCAGAAGATACTATGCAAGTTGCCAAAGGAGAAAAAACACTCAACAATCCCACCCAGCTGTAAAGCCTACAAACTATAACAATGACCAGCCCAACAAATAATCTCTATTGGTGCACTTGTGGCACTTTTGTCTTGGGGGAGTAATCAACAGCTATATAATTTGGACTTAGGGCCCACTCCATAGGCGGGAACTCATGTATGGAACTACTAACATAACCAAATACACATGGCTGGAGAGGTCATAGATTCTAGAGAAAAACTTACTTTTATCACATCCCTAGGCCAAATAATTTCTTACTATAATTTAAATACACATCCTTATGTTTACGGACAAGTGACCTTTCAACATTCATCAAAGATGCTTGTTTTTTATTTTTAGGATCTTTTAATTAATTTATTT